TATCAATTAATGGTGACAGTGGCGTATTTGGAGAGTGAGTTATTGCGGCGAGTAATTTGTATGTATTAATACCAGGTGATCCATTTAAATATCCAAGCTCATCATTTTGAAGTTTGAAAATATTTTTTACAAAGTTTGAAGTCATTTTAAAACAACATTTCAGAAAAACATTATATATTTTAATATTTTTTTCGTAATAATTTTTGAAGTTTTTACTTTTTGAATGACAATTTTGAATCACCCCTCTTCTCATAAAACGAAGTCAAATATGCCACTGCATGTTTATTATATTATTTGGAAAATTATTCATATATTTTTTAAAAATTTGAAACTGAAATTGATTTTGTTCAAAACCGATTTTGCTTAAAAATTTCAGTTTTTCTTTGGGGTTTTTTTTTTTGGTTTTTTCCCTTGCTTTCGAAAACTATTAGGAATTTTAAATTTTGACCTCCTTAATTCACCTACTAAATTCACTTTCCCATCAACAAGAAACTGAAGGGGAAAATCGAACCATTTTTACTGCCCCCAAAAGGCGATGTCAGACATACAAAAAAAAAAAAAAATTAAAAAACACATCATTACTATAGAATACTATAGGTATTATGCCACTGCATGTTTATTATATTATTTGGAAAATTATTCATATATTTTTTAAAAATTTGAAACTGAAATTGATTTTGTTCAAAACCGATTTTGCTTAAAAATTTCCGTTTTTCTTTGGGGTTTTTTTTATGGTTTTTTCCCTTGCTTTCGAAAACTATTAGGAATTTTAAATTTTGACCTCCTTAATTCACCTACTAAATTCACTTTCCCATCAACAAGAAACTGAAGGGGAAAATCGAACCATTTTTACTGCCCCCAAAAGGCGATGTCAGACATACAAAAAAAAAAAAAAATTAAAAAACACATCATTACTATAGAATACTATAACAACTGATATTTTTAAATAAATTAATTGGATTTTTTTTCCTAAGCTTTAATTTTATGACCAACAATGTTCAAAATTAAAAATAATAATTTAATACTTTAATATTATTTTTTTTATATACTTATTAATTTTTGTTTGACTTTTTTTCCGTGGCTTATTTTTCCCGAGGATTATTTTTCATGGGTTTTTTTTCTTACATTCGAACATATCAGGCATGGTAGTTTTGAAATATACTGGTTCGCAAATTACTTTTATAAAACTTATAAGCATCTATACTGAAAGTTAATACCGCAGCTATTTCAGTAGAAACTGTAGAACCAGGTACTGCAGTAAATAAATATTATTGAAATCGTATATTCGTATCGTAGTCGGCAGACGGGGCAGTCACTACATCTTGAGTAGTAGAGTCGCCAATAACTCGCGGTGTTCACATTAGCTGTTTTTAAAATTAACATGAGCTACAACCGTATATTATGTCTACTGTTGATTTCTCATTGAAATATTAATTATTAAATTATTTTTGGTTTATGAAGACGGAAGAGTGACTGTACGTCTGTACAGCAGTTTTATTTCCATTCCAAGTTAAGTATAATTTATAAATTATACAAATGGGCGTACTTATGTCAAGAAAATCCCTAGTGCAGACCCCGCATACCCCACTTCCTTTCTGCCATGCTATTATAATACAACGAAGTGAAGTTTTTTAGTGGAATTTTCTACCTGCATGTGAACCGACAAACGGCAGAAATGATCATCACTGGACCGCGACCACGGAATTTAATATACTTTGATTCAGGCAATGCATGGCTGTCCAAGATAATATGGTTCATGTAAGTAGTAACTCGTAATAACAGCGGTGATATTTTCTGCCGGTCATTCAAATTTAAACTTATATTAATATTAAAGACAATTTTTTCAAATGCTCAGATTTTTTTTGTCAATTAAAATGAGTAAACTATGGTGATATAATGTTGTATTTTATAAATGAGAACCTTCCTTGTTGTTAAGCAGGTTTTTTTTTTTAAATGTTGATGCATCTAAATAAAATTCTGGGCACCTAATTAAACTTTATGTACCTACTAAAGATAATAGTGTATAATATGAGTGTTTCAATGATTCGAAAACCACAGTTATCAATATTTATTATTTTATTGATACCTATATTATATTTTATCCACATTTCATAATTTATAAAAATTGACCTATTATACTAGGTATATACTAGTACCTACTAGACTAAATAGTAAATATTATGTTATACGTAAGACCACTAATAATAGTTAATTAACTTAGAAACTACTTATTTAAATGTTAATTTAGATGTATTGGAATTTCCTAAAAAGTAGCTGCTTTGCTATTTAAATTCAATAAAAAGAATGGTTTTCGTTAAAAAAATTAAGTTAGTATCACCAAAAGATACTCGTTCAAGGGCATGCATAATCTAAGTAATTAAGAATGGTCTTTAAGTTAAATAAAAAATTCCAAAAATCATAATTCGGATGCATCATTAATTGGTTAAAGTGTATTTACAGAGTATCTCAATGCGGTCGTAATACAAACTCCTCTGACTACTGAATTTTATATACTTTAAAACTTATGTAACTATTTTAATATTTAACGGAATTTAATAAATCAACTTTTAAAATATTTACATAAATTAGTTCTATAAACATTGACTATCTCGGGTTTTGAACTATACGCCATTACGCAAAATAACATTGTATAGGTACCTTAAATTATGAGTAAACCAAAAAGTATTCAAAACCATTACAAGCTTTGCAACAAGCCTTTGGGTTTTGAATACAGATATAGTTCTTGGAAATAGTATATCAATTAGTAAAAAAGTGGGTCAATGTATAATATGGATTGTATTAAACTTGAATTCAATGATATAATATCATTGTATAAGAAAAACGATTCTGAGTGGAGACGGTTTATCAGTCAGGATTTTTTAAATTTTTATTATTTATTATAGCCTTTAAGTTGAATTGATATTATAATATTATAAATTTTTATTCGTTGCTAAGGTGATAAACAAATCGTTCGAAATTAAAATCACATTTTAAGCGGTTTTTCGTAATTTGTCAGTAGTTTTTCCCGTGGAATTAATTAACTATTGAAAAAATCGAAAAATGACCTCTTTAAAGTACCATCTTGATCCAATTTTCTAAAAAATAAGGTACCACATATTGAAATCGAAGCACTCCTTCTGGTAGAAATTTTGTATACAGGATATAAAAAATAAACACCATTGTAAAACCACTAGCTTCCTCTCTCCGTTCAGAATCTAAAAAGCGTTTTATGCCCAAGTGATGGGAGAAAACTATTGTGACATCATTACTCAGTATACATATTATATACATTGTATCGTAATATAATAGCCGTTGCGCGTAAAACTCGGACTTCGCATAGTGCGGTTAAGTCCAGTACATAATATGGATGGTCGACGCAAGACCCAGCAAGTGCTATTCAATCGAATCATTAACCCTTCTGTACAGCTCCGTTCATCTTCCGCGTTCTGTTATTTTCACTTTTACAAAGGAACCTTTGCGCGACACATAACGCATGGAGGTCACGGCCATCGGATTTAAACCTTCTACTCTCCTCCTCCTACCGGCTACTACTACTTCTAAGTCTTGTATTACTGACTATACTGTCTACTACCTACGTCATACAACAATAAACTCAAGATGTTGTATGTATGTTGGTGGTGGGTGGATTAAAAGGGTGTGATATTCACAGCGGTGGCTGAGATATCGTGGAGGTTGGGAGTAAATTTAAGTGACGACAACTTAAAGCTTGATAGTTTAATACAAAGTTCCTCGTAAGATTGTACTACACTGGTTAAAAAAAACCGTAAGTATACCTGAACAAAATACATAGAATTTCCACAAGCCGCATTAATTCATTTTACACAAGCCAGTTGACATATTTATTAATAATAATAAATATTATCAAATGAAAACCAAAATATATTATATAACATAACACACAATTGTATTCAAGTTAATCTATACATATAAAATCCAAATAACACTCACTCACTGTTAGCTGTATCTCAAAAACTACGCAACGTACGGACTTGATATTTGGAATAGAGGTTCTTCTCATATTTTCACCGTGCAATAAGAAAGGATTTGCCGAAATTTGCATTTTAAATAAGTGCTCAAACAGGGACATTGAGATTCACGATGGAAATTGGAAATTTTATTTTTATTTATTAATAGTTGCCATTGGTTACAGTCTACAGTAGAAATTAGCATTTATTTATTATTGGTTATTCGGGCAGATCAGGTACAAGCTTGCATCAAATCAAATTATTGAACATTGCCTACCAGGGTGGCTAAGTTGCACTTACCGCAGCAACTTACACCCAAAAGGAGTTGAACAATCATAATTTTTTTAAGAGTTTCGATTTTTTACGGGCAACCAAATTTGTTATATTAATCCACCGTATTATAACAAAATAAACTTGGTATAACTTTGATACTTTAGAGTTAAATCATACACTTACGTACAAACACAACTGGGTCTGCGATCTACCGCAGGTAAATTGCCTACCTGATATATACTGCTGCGAATCAGAATTTTTATTCCAGGCAACAGAATAGTTAAGATAAATTTTGAACACCATACACCGAATTTTAAATAACGCATTGAACAAAGTTTGAGTCATATAGAGTTGGTACATTTAACGGGCAACGAAGTGCACAGGATCAGCTAGTTTACAATATAATATACAATTTATATATACAAATATACAATTTATATATACAAATATACAATTTACATATAGGTGCATTATTACAGCGGCATAGCCATAATTTATAATTATTTAGATACCTAGGTATATATTTTTTACAAAACATACCCCATGTTAGTGGTTAGAATTAGATTGCACTAGCTTCAACTCATGTCGTTATAGGTGAAAAAAGTGCTAGAGAAAGGCAGAAACTCGGTACGAGCGCTATAATAAACTCATCTATACGTCTGCTTGGTCAATCGCACCACAACAGAACATTTTTCTGGGGAATTTCTTGGTCCGGCTCCACAGGGAACGACGCGGACGTATTTATGTCACTGCGGTTACCGTCGGTTCCGTCCCCTCATCACTACTGTGGTCGTGGGTTACCGTGTCCGCGGTTATCACAAGCCGCAAGCAGTCGGATAATGGTGTCTCGATTCCGTTATCTTCTGCTGGTGTCATCAATGTGGTAATAGACGATCCGGCATAAGGCGAATCGTCGGAAACTGGCAACTCCACGGACGTAACTGATCGCAATCCAACCTCGGAAGCATCGCAATTTGCGCCCACGGTCATATTGGGTAGTGACAGAGATCTCTTCTTCAGCTGCAAACTATGGAAATCGCAGCTTTCCGGAGGTTCCTGTATATTTTCCCCGAGATCGTCGACCACCGGTAGCCGCGTAATATCGGTCGGTGATTTCCACCCAAACTCTGGTGCTTCGACAGTGGAATTTTTCAGAAGTTCGGTAACGACATACGCTTTTTTGTGCACCGGAAAACTATTGAAATCACCGCTTTCCGACGGTTCCTGTTTATTTTCTTGGAGATCGTCGAAAACCGATAGTATTATATTGGATGTAGACTTCCATCTGATCTCTAGTGCTTCGGTTCGGGAATTTTTCAGCACGGCCATGTTGGGTAACGGAATAAACCGTTTGTGCAATGGCAAACTGTTGAAATTGGAATTATCTAACGGTTTGGGTCTATTTGATAGAAGATCTACATAAACTGTCAATATACAGTATATTATGTTAAATAAACAGATTATATTATGGAAATACGATTTAACTTTTAGACGAAAATCGGTAGATTTATTCGTAATGTTCGCAAGACGCAACAAAATGAATACTGATTACTAATCAGTGATTAGTAATTACTGCGACACAGACAAAATAATAAATTCTCAAAACACTTAATATGCACTTGGCAACAAGATGTTTGTTATTTTTGTAAACCAGAATGTATCTACATTTTTTTAACATTATATAGGTAGGTACAACAATTGTTTATTAAATTCTTATTTTAGATTCTGAGCGGAGCGAGGAAGCTAGTGGTTTTACAATGGTGTTTATTTATTATTTTTTTTTTATCCTGTATACAAAATTTCTACCAGAAGGAGTACTTCGATTTCAACATATAGTTCCTTATATTTTAGCAAATTAGATCAAGATGGTATACTTTAAAAGTATCATTTTAGTTTCTGAGTGGAATGATGAAAGTATTGATTTTACAATGTGTGTTTTATTTTTGTGTCTGTGTACACGATAAGTAGTCGAAAAAATGGTTCAATTTTCAACTGGGGAGGTTAAAATTTAAAATTCCCAGTAATTTTCAAAAGCGCCGTAAAAAACAAAAGAAAAATTAAGGAAAAACGGGAATTTTTAAGCAAAATCGATTTTGGTTTTTGGTGTAACTTTAAAGCAAATGACCGTAGATAAATGAAATATTTACTGAATGTTTATATTAGCATTTTCTATGCATGATAAAAATTTCAAAATATTTTGATTTGTTTTGAACTGTTTAGGGACTGTTTTTCAGTTTCCAATTTGATTAGTTTTTATTTCTAGAATGTCAATAAAACTTTGTTGAGTAAGAAGCTTGAAAATGTAATACACGGCTCCTACTATATTGTTACAATGACATTTGAAAAATATTAAAAATCCTTAGTCATCTTTTCTTTTTATAAGCATTTAAAGTTCAAATCTTGATAAAATACGGAAAAATCAGGTTACACCCGCATGCGTTCAAATGTACATTATAGCAAAAACTGTTTTGCTCGGGACAACTGTACTTATAGAAGAATTACCTGAATTCCATACAACACATAAGTATGAACTTTGTATGTGTCGTAGGATTTTTGTTTTTTTGATAGCACTTACCAATAATTTTAAATAATTAAACGAAAAAAACTTAATGTTCTCAAACCGATAGTTTTAATTGCATTTATGTTATCCAAATAATAAAAACTCTACGACACGGATAAAGTTCTTCCCTATGCGTTGTGGAATTTGAGTAATTCTACTATAAATACAGAGGGAGCATAGTTGTCCCGCGCAGGACAGTTTTTTTGTCGTGCATTTTAAAGACGAAGACAACGTATGCGGGTGTAGCGTCCTCATGTGGACATTGAATCCAAGTCAGCCATCCGTTTGCAAGTGCGTGTAGTGCAGCGCATCTGTGACAAGTGATGACATCTCGGCAAAACGTGTATAAGTACAGCTTGTACACTGGTATAACTGTATAAGTACACATACGTACAGTGGTATACGTGAAGTTGAGCAAGGTCCCACTCAGGAACAATTTTCTGGTATATCGTATGGCTAATGAATTTTCATTTTCAATTTACACTGCCAATCAGACGATACGACAAACGACGTAGGTTTGAACCAGGCTAATTGCACGAAACTGTTTACTGAGTAGGTACCAATATTTGAATATTATGTAGGTATATGTTAAATCCAAGCCGATAATAAAAGTTTATTTATCACCCGTTACGAAGTACTAAAATATTTCTAAGTAGTAAGTACAAACAGTGGCGTATATATTATAATATATAAGTTATGCATTCAGGTATTTTAATGCCTAGAAAATTCGTATATGTCATCAAACAACTCTTGATTGAAAGTTTTAACTACCAATCATTAATCAATAGCCACAATAAGTTGTCGCGGCACACATACAAAATAAATAATAATACCTAGGTATACAATTAGACATTAGTATTCTGTATAAAATTAAATTAGGTATATACTCTATAGATAATAATATGAGTGGTTAGGTACGGTTAGCCGTTAGGTTAGGTAATAGGTTATCGTCATGCCACCACCAAAGTTAAAATGGTACACTGAAACAACAGCCTGGCCAGCGGTGCAACCACTAGCTATATGCCTGCATAGGTTAAAATATTGATTATGTATATTGTGTAATAAACTATTTATTTTTTTGGAGATGCACAATATTTCCAATCTAGTGTTTCATCAGACCAGGGCTCGTGAGATCAGGCCCTAAGAAATGTCAATATAAGCATGTGCTTATGCACTAAAAACTGGCATTAAAGAGTTCAGAAATATGCATTTATATCCACTAAAAATCTTAACCTGTGCACTAAAAATATGAGGATTAAAAAAAAGAAGAAATCATAAAAAATTGTTGAAATATCAAAAAATATCCATTCATATTTAGTATTTTTAAAAGTTTTATTTTCAATAATTTTACGTTGCGACAATTCCCATACATTTTACCAGTGAAAAAATATAAGCTATAGGTACCTGTTGCATTTTTCGTTTGGGTTTTTACATAGTATTTCTATAAAAAAAATGCATGTTAATAAAATAATATCAATAGGAATATCAAAACTATAAATAATACGTCTAATAAAATAGAAAAACGCATAAATATGCCAAATAGAAAAAAAACTCTAAATCAATATGCAAATAAAAATTTATATACTTAACCATGGTACCTAGCTATATATACTATCTTGAAATGGATTTTGATTTCATCTAACATTAAATACAACTTAGCAAGAATCAAGATTGATATGCAAATGTATGAACTTAAAAAGTAAAAATCCTGTTCATCACTGTTTTTGTTGAAACTATGAAGCGTATAAAAAATCATGGGAAAATTTCCACGAAATACCGGCTTAATGCATAATTTATTAATATAGTTATCAGCACAATTTCTTAGTCAATTAATTATGAAAAACTTCAGCAAAATAAGTTCTGTCACATATATTGATTTTTAAACTGCGCATAGCTACGCCTAACAACCATTAGTAAACACAAGCTAAAAGCTTTTACCTAATTACAATTCATTTATTCAAATTATTTTGATATCTGAAATTTTTGAATTGGTATGTAAGCTTTAAATACCATGCTTGTATTTTAAAATACCTACTTACATTTTGGGTATATACCATCTAAGAAGTTACTTCACTTTTTACAATGATGATATACATTTTTTTTTCAAATGAGTACCACCTTTTTTCCGGTAATTGTAAGCAACATTATTTTTTATAATATATTGTTTATGTATAATCCAAATTGAAAGTAGATTCTGAATTGTTAAACTTTGTGTACTAATGTAGTAAGGTCAAAAAATAATAGAAAATAAGGAATATAGGTATTTTATAGTACTAGTCTAGTACTTATTGTCTAGTACTTATTAATTATTATATAGCCACATAGGTACCTAACCTAGATACTAGGTAGGTAGCCAGGTAGGTATAGGTACCTAAATATTTTATACTCAGCCAAATTTTAAAATGCACTATGACTATATTTAGTACTACAATTCAGATTATTCTTATTCTTTAATACATAAAGTTTGACAACTCATAAATTACCCATTCGTTTGAATTGTTACTTGTTGTTACGTCAGTAATTTTATAAAAATTGTCTGCTGAACAATTTTCAGGAAAAGGGGGGACTTTTTTTTGAAAAATAATGAATTTGTCATTTGTATCTCACGACATACCTATCATTATTCATTAGGCGTAAAAAATCAAAACATTTGAAAATATAAGAAAAAATTCCAAATTCATAATTTGAATACATCTGTAGTTAAAGAATAAATGTATGGTGACTGGTGAGCAAACTTGGTATATATAATATGTTATAATCACAGGTGAAACTAGAAAATGTTATTAAGACAGGCCAAATGATAATTATAATAAAAAATTCTAATTAAAAATAAGTTTTTTCTTTAAATTTTAAATTTTATTAAGTTAATAATATGTTATCCAGTCAATATTAGGTAAGGCCATGGCCTGACTGACCTGACCCGTAGTTTCACCTATGATAACTCAAGTACATAGTTCCTTCATCAATATTTATTAGGTACCTATATACCAATATATCTAATGATATATAATATGCTATATGCAGTACTATGCGTCATGTGTACAAAATTACAAACTACAAGTTATAAATTGTGCAGTTAAATTGTATGTTTAATTGATAATAATTGATAACTTAATTTCGCCACTATACCCGGACTAGGCCACTAGGGAGACATTTTTCTAAAAGTAAAAATAGCTAACTGCTAAACGAAGACGCTGCTCTAAATGATCATTAGAAAGTATGGCTTGGTACCTATTCTGCTTTTATAACTTTTATGTGAGAAAATGCCATCACAAACAGGTTAATCCGAAATATATATTTAATAACTGTGTCTACTAAATGACAAATGTATAACAATAATTAACTATTCTAACAAGGGGGATAGACTTCTTAATCGTCCAAGATCGACCAGTCGATCGAGATAGACCGTTTGGCCACCCCTACTATATAGTATATTATATTATAGCTATTTACACATCTTCTTATTGTAAAAATAAATATATTTAGGTAGGCAGGTACTGATTGTACTTAAGATTTAAGTTGTAAGTTGTAACGATTAATTTTACCTAACCATTACGTTAATTTTTTTTTTTTAGGGTATGTGTTTTGATTTTTAAACCCTGACTTTTACCTTATGATACCTTTTACCTTTTAAGATATGAATGTAGTGGGGCATGCACATAGGTACATATTATAATAATTAAAGAAGGGGGCAAGGATTTATCAGACACAAAAATGATTATAAATATAGGAACCGGATTTATACGCAAATACATATAGGTACGTACAGTGGCGTATTTTGAAATTTTTTGTGGGGGGGGGGGTCTAAATATTAGGTACCTACAAGTTTATAATATAAAAAAAACACATACGAGTTACGATGTAATAATTATATTATATTATATTTTTTTCTGGGCGGGGTCCAGACCCGGGGACCCCCCCCCCCGTAAATACGCCACTGGGTACGTATTGGAATAAGCTTTTTGAAATCTGATGAGAATTGTCTCTTATTTAGATTATTCTTATTAAAATAACACAAATTGTATTTTGCATATTTTGCATATTTCAAAGTTTTTACCTAGTTAGGTACCTAGTTTTTACACTAGTTTTATAGTGCATATTGACTTTATTGCCAAAAATAAGATGACAAACTCATATGCTACATTATATGTAAATATATATCAGTGGCGTACCCCCCCCCCCAAAAATTGTGAAATTATAACAACGTTATCATTAATAAATCATTTTCAGATAAAATTCAACAAAAATAAATTATAACCCCTCCCAAAAATAAATTTTGGATAAGCTACTGATATATATTATTATTATATTAATATAGATAAATTCGTTTTTCATATAATAGAGTTCAAGTGTTCGACGGAAGCCGATCAGGGCTAATATTTTGTAGATTGAAGATAAAGAATGTTAAATGGCGAAGAACTTAGTGAAGATGAAAAAATACTTTTTTATACTTTTATAATTTATAAACAATTTAATTTCTTACTGAACAAAAATAAAGGTCAATAGGGGCAAAGGGGGGTAAGTTGGGTAAGGGGATGTTTGTTATAGCACTCTAGAACCCAACCCCCACCACTAGAACAGTGGCGTCATTTCAGTTTTCAATAGAGGGGGGCAAAGGTTTTGACCGGCCCGAATAGGTAAAAAAAAAACCGCTCGCTTCGCTCGTTATATTATCTACATTATTTGATGCAACCCTTTTTATTAACTAGGTAATATCATTTTTAAATAGAAGGTGGCAGATATTTTATAAAAAACAATTGTACACCTACATCAATTAAAACTTAAAAGTCTACAAACATAATATAGCAATATTTATTGATAAACAAAAATATAAGTAGCTTATTAAAGGATATCTTCTTTTTTTTTATTTTATGAAAATATATCAACTGCATCATCTATAAATCAATTTTACCTGATTCATCACTTCTCACCTATACTCTATATGACTATATGTATACGATATATTTTCAAATTAATATTATTTTAAATTATAATATTTATTATTTTTATTGCTTGCTTAGTGCTTACTGGTTTAAGTTTTGTATTTTTATTAAACATACCAGAAATTGTTTTCGATTCTTGAGCGGTTTGCGGTAATTTTATATTTTTAACCGCACCACCCATTTACTTTTTTTTAAAGTCATATTTTGCTCAAATTGAAAGATTAATGTAAACACGCGTCACGAAAAAATAAATTTTAATTTAGGTAGGATAAGGTACACTACAGGGCCAGATTGACCCGGCGAGTTACCGATGTAAAACTCAGCGGGCCGCGACAATTTTGGGCCGTTCAAGTCATGAGGGGCCGCATTGACTAAAAATATGTTAAGAGTTAAAAGTTGAAGAAATGGAGACTATAAAATAAAATAACTATGCACGGAATAAGAGCGTACCCAAGCGCCGCCAGTTTTAAAGTGGGTAGGTAAAGTACGGAAAACTCGGTGGGCCGAATTTGTCCAACCCGGCCCTGGGTACACAACACAATACGCAGAATAGTTGAATAATTTACCATACACGACTGTCGTAACTCGTAAGTTAACTGCGTATGAAGTCTGGTATCAATGGACAATGATAATTAATAAGAGTGCCAATCAGTTGTTGTTTTTAGAATTTGTATTAATTTTAGATTTTAGAAATAAAATTATACGGGATTACGATACTCATTATTATTGTTATACACTCACACAAACAAACATACCTTATACCTACATACAACGTGTACGTCCCCGCATACGTCTAAATATAAATATATTCCAACTATCAATTATTAGAAAAAATGTATCATTGACAATAATTTCTGAGTACATAGGTAGTATAATATTTTCTGAAAATATTATAAAATAGACATGTTTTTGCGCTGATAAAAAATAATAATGGTGAAACAGCAAAAACTGGGCACCGGCCCTTCGGGCTGCTTTTAAAATCAGACAGGGGCAAATGCCCACCTTGCCCCCCCCCAAATGACGCCACTGCACTAGAACCACTCTTGATGCCCTAAAATATACTATTTATAAGCCAAAAATCAAAAGACTATAGTCTAGTCAAATTAGCAAAAAGCTCGAAACTAATCCCTCGAAAGCTAAATTTTAGTACACAAGTAGTTTATCACTAAAGTTAATACTCACACTGAAAGTCCTGACACCTACAACTAGTGTGTAGTTCCCTAACTCTTCTTATACCAAAGCTTTTATGAATTTTCAATGATTTAGGTACAATAATGTATTATAAATATAAAATTAGGTAGGTACATTAGGTATATTGTAAAAAACACTACTATTCAGTACCTACCTTGTACCTAAATACTAAATAGGTATGTACCTACCTAATCAGTGGCGTCCGCAGGGGGGGGGGGCTAAAGGGCTAAAGCCCCCCCCCATTACCCGTATTATTATTACTTTTTCAAAAAAATATTAATCAAGTTAAACTGTCAACTATAGTAAGCAAGACGTAAATTTCAAATATGTCTTACCAGAATGAATTCATTTTTGAAAAAAACATAATATTTTCAATAAATCCAATTTTCATAAATTATCTGTAATTTTTCGGTAAAAGTATGAACTATTTGTATAAAAGACCTTGTATTAAATTGTCTAGCCTTAGCTATACACATTTAATATTTTATAAGTTTTGAACTACAAATGAACTGTGGTTTTGACAATTTGAACTTTAAATGCTTATAAAAAATAAGCATGATGCCTATGTATCGTTAATATTTTAGCTATAATAAAAAAACATACGTATTACATTTTTAAGCTTTTTGACCGAATAAATAATTTTTTATTGACATTTATAGAAAAAAAAAATTTAATTATTCTAAAACAATCCAAGTGAAGACGGTATAACCAAACATTTAAATAAATTTTCATTTTTTTTCTCAAATTATTTTTAAAAGCACTGAGCATTTTTAATTTCAACCTCCGAATAGTACCAACTAGATCCAATTTGCTTCCAAAAACATACACCGGGCATCATCGAAGCTTATGATCAGAGCATTTTTTCTACCAGAAAAGTTGAAAAGTTACAAACATTTTAAAATACCTCAAATAAACGTCTGAAATTATTAGACTGGACAAAATGAAAAGAAAATTGTAACTAATTTTCAAGCCTCCCCCATTGAAAAATCCTGCGGACGCCACTGTACCTAATAGTGTACATTTTTTAGTACCTAGTTAATATACACCTAGATGCAAAAATCTTGTTATACAAGTATACAACTATACAAGTATAAAATATTTAAGTATGATTTAAGTTCAATTTTTATTACACCTAGCTCTAACTGGAACATTTAAATTCTTTCTACCAGCTACACAAATCCGGCCGGCCATCGATGCATATATCTACATTTATATTGGTAGGTAGGTACTAGGTAGTTCACTAGTTCGGTAGGTACTAGGTACATCGTAAAAGTATCGAAAACTATTTTCGAATCGATAATAATTATGTATTGACGTACACTAATAATATAATGTTGTAATAATATGTGCGAGTGGTTAGAAATCGTGACAGTGTCGGCGCGGGTTAGCCGGGCCGCGGGATGAGCATCACAAATCGGCGCGGTCGGCTTTAATGCTATATATTATGTCTACCTATATGTTATAATATTATATTGTGCGTCTTATAATATAAATATTATAGATTATATTATGTATAGTCGTTTATCAATGTGCCCAACAAATACCAATAATAATATAATACGACTATAACGGCTATACCTGTGGTGCGTAGTCGGACGGGGTCGGTTACAAAAACCTGTTGCCGACTTTCGTGTGAAATGCACAAAAAACGCATTCGTGCCTAATCGCAGGAAATGGGAAAAACGCACGGGTGGCGGGCGCATCCATCGCCGCGATAGGTAATATAATGATGCTGCAGTATATTATATACCTATCGTAATATATTATGTGCACATGTCTAATATATATAATAGTTAAGACGGCGATTTCGTAACGACGAAGATTCGTCGATAGGAATCTGGTTTTATACCGGGTTTGTTGAACTGCCCGAAAAACCGTCTTTGCGGCCCCAGGGTCAAGGTTAGCGCGCCTCCTATACATTATATTATTACCCGTGCCATCAAGTGCAGCATGCGCCTATTATATCACGAAATATGCGTAGGTATAGTCATGTATGTTAGTGCGAACGATGTATTATATAGGTATATATATATAATATACATGCAGAGAGATACTCGCGCCGGCGGATACTGAGGTAGGTATTTTATTTTATACTTGGCCATAATTCCGGTAGGTAAGCATACTAGGCGAGTGCAGCCCGCGCACTATATAAGAGCGACGATCCGGTGTCCGTGATTTTCATTCACCGACAGACTCGATCGCGCGAACTCGTACAAGATGGGTAAAGCCACAGGAGTGTTCGTCTTTTGCGTCGTGAGTATAGCAATACATTTGTTTTATTTTATATAGATTATCATTATTATAGGCATAGGCGTCACTACAGTCGACATTCTGGGGCAGCAAAAAATAATAATTATATACAAAATAATCTTCCATTTCGTTATTATTTTTCTTAAGATGTTGTATTTTTTTGGGGTGGAAAAAAAACCCTTCGAATCTTGATACCCTTTAGTGACAACTACGCTCATAAATAAAGCTATATAATATTCATATAATCATATTATATTATACTAAGGAGTTCCTCTATAATCGCCCAAAGTATCTACATATTAGAAATCTGGCAGGTGTCTGATACTCACAGATGTCATGATTGGTGAGGACTGATTGACGGGGTAGTAGGTGCCTATAGCTGAGGAAATGTATCGATATTAAGATGAGATTAAGTAATGGATCGTATTTGCATAAATATTTAACCTACATCTGTGCACTATATAAAAATAGTTATCAGGCCACTATTACTTTATAACCCCCAAAGTTACAAAAATATCCGCCTACGAATCACCATCCTAATATTATATATTTCTAAACATTTTAATTTTCAGTTTTTAAACTAACCATGTAATATATAATATATATATATTATAATTATATACATCAACAAATAATCAGTTCTAAATCAAATATTTAAAAAACAAAAGATAGAATTAGGTATACTCTAAACAGATAAATTAACACGTCAACTACTCAACTGCAATGACAAAATATAAAACTAAAATATATTCTCGATATGGAATTTTTGAAAATATCGCCTATGCAGTATGTATCTATGTATAATGTATGCCTGAATTTGGCAGAAACGAATAACTCCCAGCCTCGGACCTTTAGACCTTCTGGCAATAATCATAAAATACTATATTAACTTATTGTTTAAAATAAAGCATGATTTAGAGGAGTAACTTGTTCCGCAAATGAACGAGTACCTAGGTACCTATATAATGACTATAAATGCATAATGATTATTGACTATTGCACTAATAGGTATGCATTATGAAATATAAGATACGAATCGGCTATAATCAATTCAATTATTATTAATTCGAGTACAATGTTATTCTAAACGTTTGACGGCAGTTTAAACTGCTTTCTGGACTCATTAGCTACTGCACTGCATCAGTGAATTAAAATATAATTTCGATGTTACATATAATTTTTAATTAATCGTGTATCCCGCAGGCTGCAGTAGCCATGATCGTGGTCAGCGAAGTACCAGTTCCCACGGACGCGTTCCTAGAGCCGTTCGCCAGTCACTTGATTGCGAAAAAAATGATGCTCAAACACGGATTTGCCGCACCTTCAGCACCGACCGGCCAGACGACGCAGTACATCTATTACGGCGGGCAATATCAACACCAGCCGCGGCCGTCACCGCCCCAGCCACAAGTCAGCTACCCGGCTTACGGTCCGCAAACGTCCAGCTACCCGTCGTACGGTCCACCGGCAGCCAGTTACAGCGGATACAGCGAACAGTCCGCGCCCTACGTCAAACCGGCACCGGCGTATGGTCCGCAAACGTCCAGCTACCCGTCGTACGGTCCACCGGCGGCCAGTTACAGCGAACAGCCCGCGCCCGTCGTCAAACCGGCACCGTCATATGGCTCGGTCACTTACGTTGGATACAACGAACAGCCCGCACCCGTCGTTATCAAACCAGCACCGTCATACGGTCCACCAGCCAGTTACAGCGGGTACAGCGAACAGCCCGCGCCCGTCGTCAAACCGGCACCGTCATACGGCTCGGTCACTTACGTCGGATACAGCGAACAGCCCGCACCCGTCGTCATCAAACCAGCACCGTCGTACGGTCCACCGCCTACCAGTTACAGCGGATACAACGAACAGCCCGCGCCCGTCGTCAAACCGACGCCGGCTCCGCCTGCATGTCCACCTGGCAGCCAGCCGGCAGCACAAGTCGACTTCTCCAACTATGCCGTACACGGTGGACACGGTTACGGAAAATAATATAGACAGTCAGACAGATAAACGACGACGAAGACAATAATAATATTTATAGTAATAGTAATAAAAATACCACCAATCATGTATTATTGACTATATAAGTTTAAAGAATTAAAAATTAATTTAATAGTAAAAAAATGACAATGTACAAATAAGGTTTTCGTTATTTATCAATCAATTACCTAAGTAGAAAAAAAAAAAAAATACAAGGTAAATTTGACTAGTGTTGTCAATAATTTCTAAGTGTTCCTCAATTGATCATTGGCACCACGAAGTTTGACGTTTTTCCGAAGGAAAACCCTGTGATTCAATTTTAATTTGAAGACATTTTTTTTTTATAAATTTAAGTATATCTTGTGCGCTAAGGAAGTTAACTGTTTCAAAAAATCTAAGGGAAAAAAATGTTCTTAAAACTACCTTATAAAGTCAACAGTCTTATTATTTTCAGAAAAAAACCACAACTAAGTGGCAAGACGTTCTTGCACAAGAATACTTCAAATTAAACATTATAACCTCACAAATTAATGTCTTATTGATTCTTCTAGGGCCAACATTTTACTACCATTTGAGAAACACTAATCTAATTCAATTAAATTCTTTTACAATATTTATTTTTTTAAAGTTTTTTACATTATAAATATAACTTTTTAAGACAATTATAACAAATAAAAACACTTCATGTAACAATAATAATAATAATAATAAAAAAAAACAGGATTTTAATTTTATTGATTTTTATTGACTAGTATTTAGTATTCAGTAAGTACAGAAATAAAAACAACTCATTCATGAAATGTTCAACAAATATAGTTTTGCTTATCAACACTATATAAAACAACAAAATCAAAAAACTAAAAATTGGTTTTGTTTACTTTTTAATGACAATAAAAATTCCAACTTTATATTAATCCTAAACTTTATTCTTTGAATAATTATAAAAAATTGTAAAACAAGTAGGAATTCTTAGTCATTATAATTTTTCATTGTAGCTTAATTAAATAACTAAATAAAGGATTTAGAACTCTTTAATGTTTCATTTTTAGTTATATACTATTTGTAATTGTTCGAGTAATTTTGAAATAATGTTTTATTTTGTTAGAAATATCAATCATTCTCAATAATGAATAAGCAATGATTTTAAAATGTGAATGATAAATTTAAAATTGTAATATAAATTAATGCTATATATTGTAATTGTTTATGGATTTTATACATAACATATGTTTTATGTACTAAAGATTATAAAAAAAAACATGATAGAGTTCCAAATACTTTACCTAACCAATTGATATAATAAATATGTACAATCACGTTGTACAAATATTTACAAATGATAACTAAGTATTTTTTTATTTTAAAATAACTATTGAAATAAAAGCAAAGTTTAAAAATGTATGAATAACATTACTAAGTCTTTATCAAAGAAAAATATTATTTGATTCGCAGGGGAAAATATACATGGTTTACAAACTGAAAGAAAATATGAATATAAATAAAGAATAAATTTACCTAAATTTATTCTATAACATTCAATATTTTTATTAAAATTTGAGATTTAATATTTTTGTTGTATATAAGATATATGTATGATGATAATTTTTTTCCATTAATTTCAACATTCATTTTGAGTAAAATTTTAAAAATAAAAATTAAAAGGCACATTTAAACGAACACAATTATAAACATGCATACCAAATTTGCCATGGAAAGGCTTAAACAAATTATTACACGCACAAACTATCACATATATATTAAATTATACATACTTAAATACATACATACAATATATATAATATATATATATATATATGTATATGTATGTGTGTGTGTGTGGGGGTGTGTGTGTGTGTGTGAATGTATAATATAATATAAATGTATGTATGTACACATAAAATATTAATAAAAATACATCTAACACGAGATCTTTTAATTTAATTGAACATTTGTCTTTTAATTGTAAAATTTAATATTTTATTAATAAAAAAAAATATTATATTACAAAAACGATTAAGGGTGGGAGAGGGAATTTATTAACATTATATTATAATTAAGTATTAAATATATACTGTATAAAAAATACATATTTGTCATATTAACCTTACAATATATGCACCATAGGTTCTAAAATTGTGATTCGGCAGCTACGGATATTTAAATTTGTGCAATACATTATAATATATTTATAAAAAAATCCAGAAATATGAAAAAGGTATAACATTAGTTATAAAATGCAATGATGATTAGAGTATGGTAACTACATAAAAAACAACACAAATTTAATGTAATAAGAAAAAAGTATAAATTTAAGTCTTTGGCACTGAAAAAAGAAAATAGCAAGAAAAAAATTACAACAGCTTAGTTATAATTAAAATGTCCTGGCACTTTTGTGTGATAAAAATAATAACTATTACTATCCATTTCTAAGAATACATATTATCAATTAATCACAGATAAAAAAAAATAATAAAAAAATCTCAATATAATTAATATATAACTAATTAGTTACATTTGAAAGTGACCATTGTGGTCGTTGTTAGTTGATTCATCATTGATTGGTTCAGCTAACATTTGTAAATGTTCCAAGTGATCTAAATCAATCTGATCAACAAGACCCTGCCTAATGCTGTCTTCGTTGGTGAAGAAGTCAGTATCAAACGCGTTTGTGGAATTTAATTCTTTCACAAAATCGTTTTGGTTATCCAATTGATCTCCATTAGAAAAATCTACATAAAACATAAATAAAATATATGAATTAAAAATACAGAGGTAAATATTTTGTTAACAGAGGTTTTTTAGTTTCAAATTAATTTAGAATGTACTATTTCCCAAATTAAATTATCAATAGAAATTAGAAAGAAATTGCAGTGTATACTAGTGAAGTTGTTCTAGACTACTTGATTATATATTTTTTGTGATTATTTGTTTAGTTAGTATTAAACTCATTTTAATATTTCACTTTTAGCCAGGAGTTTTCTAACTATTTTACTTTGCAACAGATATTTTTACTACAAATGCAAGCATTACTTGACTAACTTCCCTCTTCAGGGGAAACTTTGCCAAAACCCATATAAATCAAATTCAAGTTTTCCTGTCCAAAATACTACGAACAATATCAAATGTGTCTTGGTTTGACAGTAACGAAGCACTTTACAGACTTCCCAGTTACATAGTAACCTACATACAACATCTCTCTATCAACCTTTTTGACCAACTAAATCATGCAAAAGTGTACAATACTTTTCAAACTAAGTGAAAAGCCTACTTTCAAACGTGGACCCTGATGTTATCACTTAACAATTAAAAAAAAAAAAAATTAAGAATTAAAAATGTTATTATATCTATATTATTATTCATATTATATCCTATTCTATGTATCATTTATTTTATATATCTATGTACATTTTTTTAAATAATGATATCACTTGTTGAATTGCAAAAAAATAATAATTCTGCAATCAAAGTTAGATTGACAATAAAAATTAAAAAAACTTGATTAACTTAAAGATAATCAAATACAAAAAAAAACATATTTTTAGTTTATCCAACAAATAATTGAAATTATCTATCAGATAAACTCTACCTAAAATCTAAGTCTAAGTAAAGAATATTTATAATACAAATTATTACCTGTAAGTATTATGTCAGGAATACTGGAAGGAGTATTAGGTGTCGTATGAGTTTGGTTGGGGAATTGGAGAGACTGAGATGGTGAAGTGCTAAAATATCCCATATCAGCTGTCATTTCTGAATTCACATATTCCTCATTCTAAAAAAGAATATATAAGTGTCTAGGCCAATAACAAGTAGTATACATAAATGTATGATTATATGTATACATTTACCTGTTGCAAGTATGTGTTAGTGGGAGAGCCTATGTATTCCAATCCTGTAGATACAGGACTATCAAGCTAATCAAAAACATAAATAAATAAAACAATTAAGTTAAGTTTGTTTTTAAATAGGATTTCAACAACTGGAAAATTGTTTAAAATAATATAACCTATATACATGCAGTTATCTAACATAAACATTAGTATTAATATTATATACACAATATATATGCTAGGTACCTACTACAACCCTTATTTTTTTGTTATTGATAAGCAACTAGAAAATATGATGTGTACCATATAACTATATAAGGTACACATTTAACAATCTATTTTTGACCATTTTACCTGTATTTCGGCCGTTATCCAAGCTGATGGATTTGAATCTTTTAGCGATTGCATCACCTGATTCCAGTCCAGCTTTATTATAGCGGAACCAAAATATAATTAACTGTTTAATATTTCAATAAAAGCAAAGGTCTAGTGGTATTTTAGTGTAATTTTTATATTGAGCATTTATTTTGTAATTGTAACATAAGAAAATGTTTAGATTCAATATTTAATTAGTTTTTAATTTTTGGAATTTAGTAATTCATAAATTACATTTTGATAGATAGAAATATGAAGTTACATATGTAAACCATTAAAGAGGATGTTACACCTGCATGTGTGATCACTGCCTTACTAATGCATAACATGGAAAATTGTACATTAAGAATCTGTTTGTTCTGTTTTTTTTTTTAATATTAGAGTGAATTTACATATTATCAAATTTAAAATTGGAAAATTATCTAGGGCACCTTAATAGTATTTTTTTAATATTTAAATTTTGATGTAAGTTATGAGAAACTTCAAATTGTAAGTTCAATGGGTGCAACTCCTTCACTAAAAATGTTCACTACCAATTACAACTACCAACTTTTGAACCTATAATAATGGTTTAGTAATACCATTTTGTTTAATATTGTTTAATAAAAAATTAAAAGAAATGTATTCAGTACTACCCTTTTGTTGACAGTTTATAAACGTTATAATCAAAATTGATCCTTATAAAATATTAAAATATATAACTCATGACTAGACTTGCCAGAATTAATGGTATTATTATAAATTAAACATTCAAAATAAAACAGAACAAAACAACACAATATATTTTGAACACCAGTTATAATGACAAATTAAGTCTAGAATTATTACTTATTTTATATTTATAACAAAAAAAGTAGGTGTTTCTCTGCTGTATAGTAGGTTGTAAGTGGGTCACTGTAATGGATTGTATTAAATTTGAATTCAATGATATAATATCATTGTATAAGAAAAACGATTCTGAGCGAAGACAGTCAGTCAGAATATGATATTACTAAGTATATTTGATGATATTATTGTGAATAAAGTAATTTATATATAACCTATTTATGTGGATCTTTGTTTTAAATTTCTAATCCTTAGCTATAAAAGTTGAATATTTTATAAATTTTTAACTACAAAATAATTATTCAATTTTATCAACATTCGAACTTCAAATGGTTTAAAAAAAAAATTGTGCCAATGTATTTTTAATATTTTCCAAATGCTATTGCAACAATATATCAGGAACCTTGTATTCAATTTTCACACTTTTTTATGCAACAAATAAAATTGTATTGACAATTTTATTATAGAAAAAATCTAAAAAAAAATTGACTGACTGTCTCAAACAGCTCAAAAAGAATCAAAATATTTTTTAAATTTTATGATGTATAGAAAATGAAAAAAATTTTTTCATGTATCTACAGTTATTAGTTTTTGAATTACAACTAAATAACAAAATCGATAAATGAGAAATTGGGTGAATATCCAATTTTGTAAAAATATGAATTTTAATCGCTCATAAAAATGTAATTTGATTTACTTGTAGACATTTTTTTTTTATAAAGGTAGACAAACTTATGAGGAATCTTGTATTAGATTTTCAAATCCTAGTTTTAAAAAGAAAAATTTTATGAATTCTCAACCCAAAATAATTGGCTAATTTCGTGATTTCGTGACGAAACGGTGATTAAGGATTTTTAATATTTTTCAAATGTCATTGTAACAATATAGTAGGTGCCTTGTATTAAATTTTCAAACTTTTTTACCCAACAAATAAAGTTTTATTGATATTCATAGAAAAAAAAAACTAATAAAATTGGAAACTGAAAATGTCCCTAAACAGTAAAATACAAATCAAAATATTTTGAATATGTTATCGTGTACATAAAATGAATATATATAATAAACAACCAGTGAAAATTACATGAATATACGTTAATTTTTTTAGAGTTTCACCGAAAACCAAAATCGATTTTGCGTAAAAATTCCAGTTTTCCCTTAATTTTTATGTTGTTTTTCCCGGCACTTTTGAAAACTATAGGGAATTTTAAATTTTGAGCTCCCGAATGCACAAACTAGATTCACTTTCCCATCGAACAAGATACTGTTGAACAAAATCGAAGCAGTTTATTGCCCCAAATAGTGGTGACAAAACCAAAAATTAAAATAGTTAAAAATTAAAAAAAAAATCATTGTAAAATCTATACATTCATCGCTCCACTCAGAATCTAAAAGATGACTATTGGTAAGTGGTAACAATCATTTTTGTGACATGTTAAGTTTGTTATAAGCATTAGAGAAGGAACTACAATTATTGTTTTACTTACCATCATATCCTTTATTAATATAAGCATAAACCAAAATAAATTATACTAATTTAATTATTAGTAATTAATAAATCTTAATATTCTAAAACAGTTGTTTTATAATTTAGATAATTTAGATAATTTTGTATCATATAAAATTATAAAATCCATTTCTCTGTTTTGTTATTATTATCATAGGCGTAGAATGATGGGGTGTAAGGGGGCTATAGCCACCCTGGAATTTTGTTAACTCCCTCATGCCGTAAATTTTTTTTGTTACATTTTTAGAACATATGTTATATATACAGAAACATAATAGGCTATAGCCCTTCTATATAAATACATCATATTACGCCTATGATTACTATACAACTACTCTATAAAATATCTTAATTCAGTTGCTCACCATAGAGAAATTTTCAAAATGGTGTTGAAGATTGTTAGTCTGTGTCAGATTTGAATAAAAATCTTTTTGCGTTTGATAGTTTTGATGTTGATTAGTGCTACTAACTGAAGAACTGCTAGGGGAGGATGGGCTTTGTGGACTGCCACACAATGGACTGGAACTTCCATACTAAAAATATTAAACAATTTAATATATATTATATGCAATATACATATAAATGAAACAAATATTTATGTACATATTATTATATACATTATAAAATAATTAAAAATTAATTCATTTAAGTTATAATAATAAAATGTACCTAGTTCTTTTATGAGATTATAATTTACAATTAATTATAATGTTTAAATTTAAAAATGTATTTTTAGGGAAATTCAAAACATTTGAGAGCAGCAGGTTTGTAATAACTGGTCTAGCATATAATTGGTCTTAACTATAAACAGACCTTTTTTTGAGTAAATATAATATTATCTGAAATCTGTAGGAATAAAAGAACTAAATACTAAGAATGCAAGCTAGTACTCTTCTAATATATGTAAATTCATAATTATTAATCATGATAATAATGATATTAGATATCAAAGTGATACTAAGTAATTAAGAATATCGGTGAATAGAACATCTAAAAAAAGATACAAATAATGTGTCTCAAGGTTTGAGTGACAAGGTGGTCTATCTTAATTTTTTTATGCTAAAACCATAATTTTGTTTATCATATATTTTATTCTGTTTTTAATAGATTAAAACATCCTGAAAATTTGAGCCAATTTATAAAAACTCAAATAAGTAAGTTTTACATGGAATGTATAAATAATTTAGCCTGGTTTAATACTTTTATGTAAAATTGTACATACTTACTTCAACTAAAAAATAATAATATACATACTTGAATTGTAAGCCCTGGAGATGATTGTGGACTTGGCCTGTTAGATTGTTGATTTCTATATGATCCTAATGTATTTATATTGTTAATTTGGGAATTTCCTATATTTAACTGAAATTACAACAAATGTATAAGTACCATATATATCTATATTAATATTATGAAAACTTACATGTGAGGAATTTATTTCAGTTTGACCATCAACAAGACCACACGACTGGTGAGTTTGTTGTTGTACTGGTGACAAAGGAATATGCTGATACATAAGTGTTTGTACAGGATTCATTTTTATACCATTCATTTGACCAGTTACACAGTTGATGTTTGAATTTTGACCCAACATTTGCATTTTAATGTTATTATTGCAATTCTCTCCTGAATTACCATTTCCTGGACTATTATCTACAGTAAATCCCTGTAAGAAACAAGTTTACATAAATAATTATAAATATACTAAACACATTTTTAAATGTACTTAAATCATTCTGTCTATTATCGTGCAGATACAGGCAGTCATTTTAAGTTTGTGAGCAAAACAAAATAAATTAACAAACGTACATAGTACATATAAAAATATTAAATGAATTAAATTGCGTGCAACTAACCTTACATGTGCGTTGTAACCTATGGTTCATAAAGTAAGGAACACTAAGGTGATTCTGCAATCATATCAAGGTACTTAAAATGAATAATCAAATATCTTAATAATACTTTATAGATAAAATAAGAATTAGTTGCAAAGCAAAACATAGTAATTATGTTTATTAAATATATACTTTTAAAATACAACTGTCAGGATGTCAACGTAATATTCCTTTTCACTATCTTGACCCATGCGCAAACATAGCAAATTTGAGTTCAGCAGAACCAATCTTTAGTTATTAGCTTTAGTATTAGAGTGAATTGACATTTCATCAAATTTAAATTTAAGAACATCTTCTGTGTTCTTACTTCGAATTTTTAACAAAAAGCAAGATAATATGAGTATTTTTAAATTGCAACATTTTACATACTGATAGCTTACATAAAAATTGAAATATCGTAAAATAGCCAAGTAAAAAGAACTGACAATGTTCTCAACTTGAAGTTATATAATGAATCTAACAACACAAGGTTGACTCTGCTATACGCAAAGTTGCTATATTGCTCATGGGTTGGATCGAGAAAATAATTATAGCGTTGACATCCTCTTAACTAAATGGTGCAAAATTGGTAAAACATTATGAAACCATGCATCAGAAAAACAAGCAAGCAATAACAGTATTAGAGAAAAATGAACTCTTATAAAGTTTGAGGACATGACACATTTTTAGATATAAACTATACACAACTATAAATTTGAAAAAAAGAGAAAAAAACAAATAAATATTTATTAAGGTTCGAATATATCAAACTAACATATTACATTTTGGCTACAAGAAATAACTTAAGCAATCAATCTACAAAACAGAAAATGAACATGTCATAAAATCTATCTGGGATGAAATTTTCTGAAGAATTTTTTTTTGAAAACTCACTGGTAACACAATGTCACAAGTGACCACAGTAGTTTGGGTAGGAGAATCAGGTGGTGGTGAACTTGTAAATGAAAACCGTGTAGGTGGTGTACGGCTGTTAATTGATACTGGGGATAGGACACTTGGACTCTGGCTCGGAGTACCTTGAGAGCCTTGAGAACCTTGTGGACTACAACCATCTGTCGTTAGTGGACTCTGCTGAAACAACCATCTAATCTAATCACATACTATCAAGGAACTTGTTTTTCCTTAATTTATGTATTAAAAGATCTAAATTGTTAATTTTGTATGCATGTAGTTAGTATTAAATATGCTAAAAGGAAATAAAAAGAACAAACAATTTATTATAGTATAATTTTGATCTTACGTTGCTATTATAAGGAGATGATAAGTTATACTGGTCATCCTGATCAAGAGGGGCATGGATTGGCTGAGAAAACTGAAAGTTAGTGAGGTCTGGTAATGAACCAGTATTGTTACCAATGGGTATTTGAACAACGCCTGGTTCTTGTTGAGTGGTAAAAACGCTAGAAAAGTCAATAATAAAAATTTGTTCTATTCCCGAGATTAAAAAACAATACTTACTGAATTCCAGGAACTCTAGGTACGTCACAACAAGACCTAGGTCTTTTATCCGGTGATGCTGACAAATACCTTTTCTTATCATACTGCTGGTTATCAATCAAGGCTAAAACAAATTTTATAAGTATTAGTGAATTTATTTAAGTAAAAACTAAAAAGTCAGTTCCGTGGTGGGAGTTGTCTGTTAACTAAGTTTAATCACTCCCATATTTCTCATTAAAATAGTGCTACAATGACGTAATTTTGTTGTGTAATTTTCTACATTTACTAGCGTCGAACTGTTATTTCTATACGAAAATTGAATGCATCAACAACTACTTTTAATAAGTCTTTTATACTGAGAATGTCAATAAACAGTATTGGCATTTTCTATCAATACTAACTGCGCGATATGCATTGCCTTATATCAGGTCTTGAAAAAAAAGATCAAAATAAAAGTTTTATAATAACTTGGTCACAGACAAATCTCTCTTAATATTACAATTCAATGCTAATGGACTATATCAAAACATTAGAAACCAATTAAAACATTTAACTAAATTTAAATCCATGACTTTGCTAAATAATCTAACATATCTTTCTTATAAAAATGGTAATCTCTATAGCAAAGGCTTAGCTAGAAATTTCATAGGGGGTGGCAACCAAGAGTATTTTTAAATTTATACTCCAATTTGAAATTTCGTTCAACGTTGGTTTATTTGTTAGCTATGGATAGAAGGGGGGAATTTCTCCCCCATCCTCCTTGGTTTCTGGAGTTTAACAAATGCACAGATTAATAGATTCTATATTGTATTATTGTATTCCCTGGATAAAAAATTGGACTGTAAATATGCATTTTTAGATATTTCACAATCTTTTGATGTCTATCTGTATACGCTTAAAAATTTCTTCCTCCGCCTACCCATATGTTTTTAAAAAATTGCACAACCATTAATAAGGTACTCATCAAAAATTTGGCCTCCACTTCAGTACTGGATAAACCCTCAAGGGTTTAAAGTGCAAGTAGTGTAGTGATCTATTATAAGATTTAATTATAATAATTAAAAAGGTAATACATTAGAAAATGTCATTAATGTTTATCATCATATCATATTTGTTACTTTTAGCGTACATTTTCTGTATATTATTATTGTATCAAACGATACAGATTGGTATAATACACTTAAAAACTAAAAAGTTTAAAAAGAGTAAAAATTAATATTGAACTATACTTACTTCTGCGCTGAGATCCAGGACTATGTAGATGAGCCAACGATTCAGTAGAACTGCTCTGCGACACACTTTGATGTAAAGCTGAGTCTGAATGAGTACGCCTCCAGCTGGTATCAGGCGGAGGAGGTGATAAATAAGGTCCGCTAGAGTAAGGTGACTTATCAGCCGATCGTTTTTCTGATCTCATTGGGCCCACTGAACCAACACTACGGCCACGCTCTCTGTAACCAACTGGTCGACCTCGAGCTTGTTGATTTGGATTCACAACTACTTCTTCACAACCGTTAGCCAGTAACTGTAAGTATTGTATTATTATTATTATTATTATTATTATTATTATTACAACATCAAATCATAATAATTAAATAATTGATAAAAGAGGTAAAAAGGGACTAAGAAATAGTGCAATCAATCTAATTTTTAGAGAATTTCAGCTTATTCAGTCACTATTAGGCAGTATTGAATATATATTATGTATATTATAATAATATACTCTATGAAGTAACCATAGACTTCTATAGGTAGTATAACTCTGTTTAGACTTCAGATTTTACATTTTCGTGATTTTTTTTTCGTTTAATTAATAATTGACAAAACCACAGTTAATTTGTAGTACCTACAAAACTTTTAAAATATTAAATTTGTATAGCTAAGGCTTGAAAATTGAATAGGTCTTTCGTACAAGTAGTTCATACTTTTACCAAAAAATTACTAAAAATTTTAGGAAAATGGCAATGGCAATGGGGGAGCTTAAGACCGTTCGCCTCCCTGCGTACGCCACTGCAATGGCAGATGGAAAAAGCAATCAAACAACCAATAATACTTTAAAACTTAAATTTATCAATATTGTATTTATTTTAAAGGAACAGTTCACGATAATATATTTTTATTTGATCCGGGCTTCAAGTTGGTAGCCACATGAACAAAATATGTCACCAAGACTATTATATTGTATATTGCAGTGAGTCTATACTTAGAATTAATACGCAATAATTGGAACACAATAATTATATTGATATAACTAATAGAATACCACCTAATAATGACAATAGGTAAGTATTGATCATGAATCATGATTGAAGTTTTAGCTATGTATCAACATTTTAATAATTCGTTTTTGATGGATAATTTAGGTTAGATTACTTAGGGAAAATGTAAGTTTGAAATTAATTATTTCATTGAGTATTTTAATGCAAATTCGTATCTCCATTCTCCGTTAACTGAAATACAATAATACTTTTTAGTTTTAAGTAAATTATATCATATAGGTATATTAAATTAATTACGTTTTATCAATGGTTATTTATCTCATTATCTGTGACAAGGATAAACAGTATTATAATATACAGGCGAGTACGTATTATGTTTGAATTAGGCACGTACTTGAAAATGGTATTCTGTGCGTGTACACTGTACATTGTCGTACTGTGCTATGAATATATGACGAAAAAACAACAACTCTAATACCTATATTCATTATGCCTACCTATTAAGTAAATGTTCAATAATGGTGCAAAAGTTTTGAACTATTATTTTAATAAAACTCATAAAAACAAATTTACAACCAACAAAATTATAATAAATATAATTTTGTTAAAATAAAAATAAATATAATTTTGTCAAAATAAAAGAGCATCTGATAATAAATATTGCACTAAAAAAATGTACCTATATCAAAAATACGCAGTTTATGACATACAATATACCGATTGGCAATATACCAAATATAATTAATCAGTATCGACGTGTTATGCCACAGCCACATTTTGAGGCCCCGGGAAACTATTAGCAAGGCCATATCCTCAGAATGGAAAAGATTATAAGAGGTAAACCCCTCAAATCGGAAAAAGTGGATCTATAATTCTGTATAGTTTAATCTAAATAAAAAAGTAACCACCCCAAGTTTTATTTTCGAACCCTCATATTTCCATCTTTAAATAGCTAGAATAAAATATTGTAGTATTAGGTATACTAGGTACTTCTTAAACGTCATTATCACCAATAAATTGAATATGTACTAATGCTGCAAGTCTTCTAAACTATTAATACGATACTTACACTAATCAACGTTATATTTTACACTATTTTTGATATTTTATTAGATTATACTGTTATTTGGACGGATTAAACAATTTCATAGGAATCTATTATCACAGTGTTCCTAACACAAATTTTGATGGCTAACACCAACGAAAGGTATTTATAATAGCCGAGAAAACGATTCATAGTCTGAAAGCCACTCAGGTGTATCGATCATTGCAGTCCCTATTTTGGTGTGAAGTACGAATAAGCAAATGTTTAGGTAGTAAGAGATAAAAAAATATGTAGCTTTCATTATAAATATTATAAAAATTGTTTATAATATCATCCCTCCAAACACACCATACCTTTATAAGTTTGGAATAAACAAAAAAAGTGTGTAGTATGAATTTTTTATGTAAGTGCTATGCACTGGTTGCGGGCCTAAATTAGCAATGTATTAAGTATAAATGTATAATTATTGAAGTCTCGACCTCGGAACTACTATGATTGTAATTTTATTTTAACTTTAAAATAATTATAAACTAAGTAACATAATTTAACGTTAAATAACAAGAACATAAATTTAAAGTTTGAATAGAAAAATAAATTGCGAAATCCGTAAACATGTTTTCTTATTAATATTTTATAAATTCATTTAAAATAAATTCAATTTAATTTTCACAAATGTTCTTTGTTATTACGCAACCGGTATTATGAGACTTTCAAAGGATTAAACTGTAAAATTTTAAACAACGAAATCAGTAGGCTGCGTACTTGTACTTTGGTTTAAAGACCTTAGGTAAATTGGTATGGAGGTTGGTAAGTTTAAATTATTATGATGTTCAAACGTATTAAAAAAAATATAAAAAAGAAAATATATTCGTTAATGGCTGGTTGTCAACAATGACGTATTTATAAAATCTTTATTAAAAAAATACTGTCGAACGTTACGTGGTCACTTCAAAATTAAATTTATTTAGACGTTGTTTAGAGAGACGAGAAAAGAAACACGAAAAGATTGTATAAGACAAGACCCATAAAAAAAGTTTTATTTTCTTGGCTTAAAACAGAAACATCACTTGAATTGTGTGAAGTTAGCCCCCACATTTTCTAAATTACACCGGAGTTGTACAGCTTAATTTGTAAGTAATTGTAAGTTGGTTGTCCGCTGTAGTTTTGATAAAGTAGGGGGAGGCGGTTAACTTCACACATGTTATCACTTGCCACACACCACAAATAATTTCCGTAGGTATAATGACGTATAGATTATACAATGTACGATATTTATTTTCACATAAGGGACGACGTGAGTAGGTTGTGGGTGGTGCGCGAGGAGCATTGATTCTAACAACGGTGATGTGGTAAATATAGAAACTTGTTATACAAATGTATAATAATAATAATATAATTTATATCGAAAACGTTTATTCCGATATAGTAATAACATAATATAATATAGGTGACCGAACTTTATTAGCTTTACACGTCTATAATATAGCCATATAGGTGTATTGTGCCGATCACCAATTATTATTTAACATTTTTTTGTGGTATTTATTTTAGGGATCACGAATCTGTCGGCGGCGCGTAAAATCGTGGAGCGGAAGGAGGCAACGGTGGCGGTGTAGGAGAGGAGGGTTTCGCGTGCGTCGCGTCCCTTGCGATATTGATTGTGGTGTAGGCAAGCAAAGTTGCGTTCTATGCGGACGCGTGATCACAAGTAGGTCATCCACCGCCACAGCCGCGATTACCGAACAGACCTGTGTGATGCGTGCGTGCGTGCGCGTGTCGCCACAGCCGCTCGCACAGCAGATGGGCGCGCGCGCGCGCGCCCGACCGAATGCTTTCCGTCTGTCTCCGCGGAAAATGCACCGACGGCGGCACTCCGGAAGTAGGGCACCGCGGGCCACGTGCCAACGCGCGGAAGCGGTGCCGGCTAGAGGAAGGACAAAAAACAAACTATAGTGGGGGAAAAAAAAAAAATTTGCTTGGCCTGCTTCGTCTATTCGCCGGTTCTTTCGGGATAAAAACGTTAGGCGTGATGATGCCGCGTGGCCATTATTTTGCGCGCTTAATATTATAAAATAAATTCTATGTACGCATTGCATAACAATAATTATTGTTAATTTATTACGCGTAAACATGAACAACGCGGACGTACGTAACGATATTATTGTGTATACGCGACGATGACGTCGTCGTGGTTGTTGTTGTTGTTGTTGTTGCAAAAAGAATAAGCGTACACTCACCCCAGTGTAAAAGACGCGCGTGCCCCGAACGGGATTCGCGCTCGTCGTTCACCAATAATAACGTTTTCCCCGCTGGATTGATACCTACTATAATACACAATATTATTAATTGCGACTTATTAATGATATTATTGATTTTATTTTTACTGTTACGTTATTGTTATTATTTGTGAAATACAGTAGATTTTATTATTATTATTATTATTATTATTATTATTGACTATTGTGTGCGCACCACGATCGATAACGTAGTCGGTTTATTTCACAGAATCATATTTTTTGTTAACACATATGTACCGTTGTTGCATCGTTGCGCGTCAAACTTTAGTCTCTAGTCGTGCCTGCAATCCGACACTAACAATATCGAAATTCGTTTATTTTAGTTTTTCGGATGTTGAACAATAAAATAATATACTAAATAAAAATACAGATTTTAATAATTGAGGCTTTCATTAAACGTAACCGTAAAGTTACACAAATTAATATTTATTTTTATTGAGTTTTAGAATTTGTACGAAATAAATAATTAAATAATAGCATAAATTATTTTTTATCTGAAATTCATTAAATCAATTACAACATATTAATGAATTGGCGTATTTTGGTGCAATGGTTATTATTTTAATAATTTATAAAGATCCCACCATTATGCCACAATAAAAATATATAATTTTCACTTCGAAAACGACAAGTTTTCAATAGGTACATTGATTCTTCGTTTCTTTTTTTGAAAATTAGAATCTGAACCTCTGTAGATAAATAACTGTAAATAATCACAGATTTACATATTGTTCATATTTCTTAAATTCACTAGTTTAGTGTATACAATGTGACATCGCAAAAATTCGTATATTTTTAAAAGATTTACTGTTGACTGAATTCAATTTAAATACTCTGTTGATATTTTTATTTATAATTAAAAAAAATTCCTATTGTATTATAATTTCGTAAATATTAAAAAAGTGTTTGATAATGTATTTTTGAACAATTAGGTACCTACTTAAATTTGTTGAAATAATTCTTGTATATTTATATTTGCGGAACGTAATATGAATGCTTAAGAATTTGATTACATTACGATGACTGCATAATGTATAAAATAAATACAACTTTTTCGTTTCGAGGACCTAATAAAACAGTTGCTTGTTTATTATTTCAATTTACTTTTATAGTTTTATCATCGAGTACGTGGCAAAGCGATGATAGTAGCAATATGGTATGTAACATGGCACTATATATTTTTTATCTGAACCTACCTATTCAAATATTTTAAAAGAAATTAAATCGTTGACATAAAGATCCAAATCGCTCATAAATATATTGGTGGCCAAAAAATATTATGTATAACATATAGTGTTATACAGTAGGTTATCGATTAGTATGCTGCAGAGTGAACTGCCGATGTCCGCCGGATGGGATTATACTTGTTTGATAACCTAGGTATACTAATATAATAAACTAAAATACAACATTATACATACAAACTAGTACTCGTGCCAATAAAATATTAAGTTTATTAAAACGTAGGCAAACAACACGTAAATAGTAAAAATATGGTAGTTTTGTGTTTAAAATAAATAAATAAAATACATTGCAAAACAAAAATGCACGAATTTTATATGACTGCATACACCTAATTATAAAAAAACTAAAACAGTAATAATTGAATGCAATGAATATAATATATAGGTATATTAAAAGTTAATTACAGACAAGAAATATAGAATGCTAAATCGGTCGTATATTTATTAAAATAAATAAATGTAATATATATGGAAATGAAAAAGGTATAACAGGTGCGACAGAAAAGTTTTCAGAGCCCAGGTTATATAGTTGCAAGACAAAGTTGTCAATGGATAATGGCACGAGAGCCCAAGTAAAAACATGAATGTAGGCCATGACGCAAGCTCAACTAAGTGATCCCGGCCGGTCCAGAAACGCGAAATATTGAATAGGCCTCCGTGAACCCACTGCATGAATGGAATTGGAACATTTTATCAACGAAAATATTTCACGATGCATCAATGGGCAAAATAGGATACAACAATTCAGAATTAATTTGTTTATTGGTTATTACCTACTTATTATTGTTGGACGAGTGGAAAAATGTATATTATACTTGTATTAAAATTTTGATTTATTATAATTTTAGTTTCATAAAATAATAATTATCGGTAGGTAGGTATTGTTTTAGTGTATTTATTTAATGAAATAAAAAAATAAAAAATAGGTGCTCTGCTGTACAGTAGGTTACAAGTGGGTCACTGTATAATGGATGGTATTAAATTTGAGTTCAATGATATAATATCATTGTATAAGAAAAACGATTCTTAGCGGAGACGGTATGTCAGTCTAAGTATAAGACATATTATATACTTATCTATGGTATTAAAAAAAATTGAAATATAATAGGTACCTATAATAAATTCCAAATTAATCATATCACAATATCCATTAGGTACTTATAACGCGTTATACATCAACAACAAACCCTGATAATATCATAGATATATAATAGTGTACTTTAGAAGTTTCAAGTACCCACGAATAATATTATACAATCACAACAAAATAACTAAAATAGTTGATTCTGTTGAAGAAAATCCAAACATTTTTACTGTCCTAAAGGGTGACAGACACAAAAATACAAAAATAAAAAAACACACATCATTGTAAAATCAATACATTCATCGTTCTACTCAGAATCTAAAATAATTGATTACCAGCTGAAATAGTAGTATAAAATATACATAGAATATTAAATTTAATTTTAAAAGCTACAAATAAATAGTTAGATTTAAGTCTAAACATGACATAATTTGTAATATTTATATTGTATATATATATAATATCACTAATATGACTGGTGATTAACTACACAAATAATAATAAATTAAAATATAAACAATAAGAAAAATAGATATACAAAAATTATAAGTTGGAATTATTTACTGTCATCACGTTGTGTAGTTGAAAAATATAATGGTCCCATAATATATTATATAATAATATACATATTATACTCATACCCAAAGCAAGCCCTTTCAAGTTATGCATTTCGCTTTTGTAGAGATGAGATTGGTGACGGGTCGTTTATGTGTTTATGGTATGTAATAAATCACCATCAGGTGTTCCTAAAAATATCAACTGGAGGGAAAGACAAAAAACGAAATATATATATGTATTATAAATATTAAATATAGATTGTGCAAGTACTAAGTAGTTTTGTATAATCGTACAAACGACATTAATATTAAATTATTAAGTAGGTGTACAAGCATACTAATCAGTAACGATTTAAAATATTGATATATTGAAATATTATACAAGTTTAGGTAACTCTCATACAGCCCTCATTACAAAAAATAAGGGTCAAGGGTGTTAGCAGAGCAGTCCCAAAGTTTTTCGTGGTTAGGGGTAAATTAATAGAGGGTCCCCTCAATCATCATAATACGCTATACAAAAAAAAAATTGTAACTGAGATTTTCAAAATGTTTACAAATATGACCAAACAAGGTCATTTAAATTTATTATATTGGTGTAATAATGTAACTATATAGTATTTTAGTCTTCAGTATTAAAATAATAATAATCTGACAAAAATATTAGATGTGCTACACTAAACAATGAATAAGTAATTTTAATAATAAAAATATTGAACATTGAATGACCCCATAGGTAATAAACTAATTAATTATGTATAATTGTATAAATAGCCTATAAAATAGTCTAACTGCTACGTCGCGGAGAATTTTTGAAAATGTTTTAATTATTATTCACATTGCAGGACCACAACAATAATAAATGAAAGTTAGCTGTTAGGAATTTAGGATGGGTAGACGAACTTATTTTAGTGTTTGATGGTATAATATATAGTATATACCATATAATAGGATCAATGTGGAGTGTTGTTTTAAATAATATAGCCTGGGCGCTACTGTTGTTATGAATATAATAAAATAGGAAAATATTATTAATCCTACAAAGTACAATTGATAATATGTATATTATGTATATACATTTATAATGAGATAAACCACGTTGTTTTTGAATTATAAATACCATAAAAGTATGATAAGTTTTCTTCAACTTATGTCTAAACTCTAAACACTACAACTGGCTTAACTTTAAATATTTATGATTATGAGTATATACCTACTTATCGAGTATAAAACTCAATAAAAGTGATTTTAAATATTGTCATTATAATAGTTTTAAGTTCGAATGTAAAATGTATCATTAGAAAACACGATGATAAACCATTTTTCATTCTGTGGATAGACATAAATACATAATATTATAATTGGTGAATTGTGATTATTTAGATTGAAAATAATAATTATTTATAGTATAGTACGAAATCTGTTCAATAAGTTCCGGGACCAAAACTGATGTATTTAAAAAATAATAATAAATTATAGGTAATCAGTCTAGATAAGATATCACTTAGAAAAATAGACGTACTACCCACGTTTTACTGACTATTTGATATAAAACGCAAAACTGTTATATCTTATCAGTTATCATGGTTAGTTTCATATTGTACGTGATTGAAAGCGTTTTTCGTTGGACATACCCAAAATTAATTAACAACAAGTAGGTATTATACTTTTATACTATACTATAATATAGTATATGGTATTTTACTATACAAGAAACTTAATACCAACGAAACGGAAACTTATGGAATGAGACCTTAATATTGAGTAGTTTTAAGATTGTCTTTTCGTTTCACCACTATAAATGAATGACGACTAAAGATGTCCCGCGTTTTTTTTAACCCATTAACATTAAAATGTCATTACGATTAAGTAAAATAATATTTGTTTACGTTATATTATACTTATATTATAGGTATAGCATATAAAAAAGTATTAACTTTGTTTCTTAATTGAGTAATAAATGTAATAACAGCAGCTTTATATAATATGTTTCGATGACAAACATGTTATATTATGACATTATATTATCAGTTTATTAAATAATCAATTAGTTTTATACAAAATGTTAAACCTTAACTTACTACATTAGCTAAAAAATCCTATCTACGCCTATCTACTCCTATCACTACAAAACTAAAATGTTACAATTTTTTTTTTTTTTAATATTAACTATGAAATAAAGATTAAGTGCCTATCAATAGAATAATAAGTTAGTGTTTTCTATATACTAAATATTTTTTAGTATAGGTTCCCAACTACAATTACTTAGATTAGGTGTTGGGACTATTTTCATTTTATTATCCATATTTCTAGCCTATTCTACAGTTAATAATTTTATTATCACTGCTAAAGCTAACTCTTATTAAGTTATAGGTATTATGAAATAATAGAAAATGTTTTTATTATTTTATTGATGAATTGCATATTTTATGTAGTAATTCTAGATTCTAGATCTATTAAACATATATTTTATATGAATAATAATGTTATTTTAATAAATAATAATAATTGAAAAAAACTAGCAACGGGCCACCAGGTCGGCAGCATAAGTAGTGCGCTTCCAGATAAGTATAATAACTAATAAAGTTAAGTAAGTGTTCAATGATTATTTTAATAAATAATAAACAACACATTTATCTGCGAAATAAATTGGTAAAATAGTGGGAAATACTTCCTCTACTGGCGGGTCACTCGAGAAAAGGTATAATTGAAATATTGTGTTTTTAAAATATTTAAAAAACTGTGATTGCATTTTGTACACTATGGAGTGTCTCTTGAAGAAATAATTTAAGGAGATTTTTTTCATTAAATATTAGAAAGAAGTCAATAATTGCATTGCATATACTAATATAGGTACCTAAAATTTAAGCATGTTGTTCCATAATATATATAGGTAAGAAAGATTTTATTATTAAAATGTTGTGAAAAAATTGTTAAAACTAGATGGTTAGATTATTAACATTTTTATCTACTAAAACGTCACCATGGTGCACTAACTACCATAGCAGAAAACAAGGTGGCTGAGTGGCTAAGGCCCCTTAAAATAGCAGTTAAGTCACCTCATACAAAAACTAATGAAATACACGACGTTAAAATATAAACCATAATAGAAATATGTTTCTAGGAAATCTTCAAAGTATCAACCCCCCGCCCCCCCGCAAAAAAAAACAATGGATCATTTTTGAAATTATAATGATTTGAAAAATATAAACTTAACAGCCCCAAATTGGTAGATTTTAGCATATGATTAAAATGTTTTTAAATTTGGAATTATAAAGAAATATT